TCAGCAATCAGGAGCTCCTCAGTTGCTCATAGCAAATCCCACCATGGAGTTTACAAAGACTTATGGGTAGAAAAGCCACACAAAGTAATTTACTACACTCAGATGGCTAAAATAGGAAGAGAAATCATAACAAGTAAGGTAAGGATGTAGAGAAACTAAAAGCTTCATAAGCTGTTGGTAGAAATGTGAAATGGAAAACAGTCTAGCAATTCCTCAAATGTTAAGCACAGTTACTATAACCAGCCACCCTCAAAAAAAACACATATTTACTGCCATCAGGTTACTATAGGACCCAGCAATTTTACTCACAGATATAGCATATCCAAGAAGGAACTCTTGAGATGCAGTAAAGCACTAGCTGTGAACCAAAAGGTTTTTGTTTGTTTGTTATTTGCCATCAAGTCGGACCTGACTCATAGTGACCCCTCCTTGGATTTCCGAGGCAGTATCACTACGGAAGTAGACTGCCCAACCTTCCTTCTGAGGAGTGGAAAAGGTCAGGCAGTTCAAATCCACCAGCTGCTCTGTGGGACAAAGATGTGGCAGTCTGCTTCTGTGAATAGCCTTTGAAACCCTATGGGGCAGTTGTACTTTGTCCGAAAGGGTTGCTATGTGTTGGAATTGACTTGACAGCAATGGATTTTTTTTTTTTTTTTAATATATCCTAAAGAAATGAAAACCTATGTTTATACAAAAACTTGGGAGCTCTGGTAGCATAGTGCCTAAGGCACTTGACTGCTAACCAGAAGGCTGGCGGTTCAAACCCACCAACCACTCCTCAGAAGGAAGATGGGGCAATCTACTTCCGTAGTGATATTGCCTTGGAAACCCAAGGAGGGGTTGCTATGAGTCAGGTCCAACTTGATGGCACATAACAACAACAACACCACATACAAAAACTTGTATATAAACATTCATAGCAGCACTAATCATAATAGCCAAAAAGTAGAAACAATCCAAGTGTGCATCAACTGATGAATGGATTAAAAAAATGTGGTATGGTCATACAATGAATTATTATTCAACAATAAAAAGTACTGAAGTACAGCTCTTCTAGTAAGATGGTGGAACAGGAAGACAAGCTACACAGACCTTCTTCATCCTGAAGCCCTGAGTTTTGCAAGGAAGCACACAGAAGTGGAATAAATACTAACTAGT